ACATTCTTGAGGTTGCTAGGGCAATCAGATTTCAAGGTCATATCCCTATCAGGTTTTGGGGTAATTGTGTCCTCACAGTAGCTTACATCATTAACTTGTTACCAACTCCTATCTTACATGGAAAATCTCCTCATGAAGTATTTCACAACTCCAAACCTACTCTTCAACATTTGAGAGTCTTAGGTTGCTTGTGTTTTGCAAAGAACATGTACATTCATGATAAGTTTCAATCTAGAAGTGTGGTGGCTGTTCACATGGGCTACAGTACTACTACTAAAGGTTATATTCTCTACAATCTCAAGGACAAGAAATTCTTTCTTAGCAGAGATGTGGAGTTTCAGGAATCCACATTTCCCTTTGCAGCTTCTCCTTCCACTGCCTGGCACTTATTTCCAACTGTCTACATTCCATCAGATGTTACTCCACTATATGGTGTACCTTCCACTGATGTTGTTCAATCAGATGAGGTCACTGATCTGCCTACAGTGGTTTCAGAGTTAGTTCCCAGGGGTTTTGATGTTAGGAGATCTCAAAGGAGTTCCAAAGCCCCTTTATGGTTGCAGGATTATGTTGCGTCAGCTCATCTCAAGCCTATCCAACCACTATATTCTATTGACAAGGTTGTTGGGTATAGTCAATTGTCTCCCTCTTATCAAGCCTTTCTATCTACTTTTGGTACTGAGGTAGAACCGACTACATTTGAAGAGGCTTGCCAGGATCCTAGGTGGGTTGAGGCAATGCAAGCTGAAATCTCAGCTTTGGAAACACATCAGACTTGGACTGTAGTACCATTACCTTCTCATAAGAAACCCATTGGCTGTAAATGGATCTTCAAAATTAAGTATCATGCATCAGGTGAGGTAGACAGGTTCAAAGCTAGGCTAGTTGCTAAGGGGTTCAACCAAAGAGAGGGTCTAGATTATCAAGAAACGTTCTCACATGTGGTCAAGATGGTTACTATCAGAAGTGTGTTAGCTTTGGCTGCTGTTGAAAGTTGGCATGTCCACCAAATTGATGTGTCAAATGCTTTTCTTCAAGGTGACCTCTTTGATGAAGTGTATATGACTCTTCCTCAGGGGTTTCAACTACCTAAGGGATTTACTGTGCAGGAGGAGAAACCAGTGTGCAGGCTCACTAAATCCCTATATGGATTGAAACAAGCCCCTCGACAATGGAATGTGAAACTAACAGATGCTCTTATCAGATTGGGATTTGTTCAAAGCCATGCAGATTACTCCTTGTTCATCAAGAAAATTGGAACATCTTTGGTAATATTGTTAGTATATGTTGATGATATAATGATTACTAGCAATGATCTTAGTCTTATTCAACAGACTAAAAGAGTTCTACAAGCTACCTTCAAGATGAAGAACCTCGGAGATCTCATATATTTTCTAGGCATTGAATTTGCTAGATCACATGAAGGGATTGTGATGCATCAAAGGAAATACTCTCTTGAAATCATCTCTGAGGCTGGACTTGGAGCTGCTAAACCGGTTTCCACACCTATTGATCCTTATGTTCAATTAACTACAAAAGAGTATGATGAAATAAATGGTACAGGAAAAGAAGACAAGCTACTAGAGGATCCAGCTGTATACAGAAGACTAATAGGAAAGTTATTGTATCTCAATGTCACCAGGCTAGATATAGCCTTTGCTACACAAACTCTGAGCCAATTTCTACATCAACCAAAACAGTCACATCTCAATGCTGCTATTAAGGTAGTGAAGTATGTCAAAGGCCAAGCAGGGCTTGGTGTACTGTTTTCCAGCAAGAATAACAAACAGTTGAAGGTCTATTGTGATTCAGATTGGGGAGCTTGCTTACACACCAGAAGGTCTGTTACAGGATTCATGGTTAAACTGGGAGACTCTCTAATATCATGGAAATCTAAGAAATAAGGTACTATTTCTAGGAGTTCAGCTGAAGCTGAGTATAGGAGCATGGCAAGTGCAGTAGCTGAAGTGGTATGGATAACAAAGTTGTTTAAGGAACTACACGCAGAGATTGTAACTCCAACTACTATCTATACTGATAGTAAGTCTGCTATACAGATTGCAACAAATCCAGTACTACATGAAAGAACAAAGCACATAGAGTTGGACTGTCATTTTATAAGGGAGAAAATTCAGAATGGTTTAGTTAAAACTGAGTATTTACATACAACAGAACAAGAGGCTGATGTACTGACTAAGGGTCTAGGAAAGTCTCAACATGAGTATTTGTTGTCCAAGTTTGGAGTATTGAATTTGTTCACTCCTACCAACTTGAGGGGGAGTATTAAAGATGGTGTTACTTAGTATTCTAGGGGTCATTATGTAAATACTAGAAGTTAGTGGATTAGATGGAAAAGAGTTAGTTAGAGGTAGTTACATTAGATTTCTTTCTTAATTGTATATATAGGTACAAATCCTCTACAGTGAGAGATTAATGGAGTTCATATGAAATTTCTACTTCTCTTCTCCAAGAACATTCTAGACTAACAGAATTGCTCTTCAACCTATCTTCTTCTTGATAGTTCACATATTTGAATTAGGCGCAAAATCATTTTAAATAAAGGGTGGTTCAATGCATATTATTTGTTATAAAAAAATTACAATATATATATGAAGATTCAGTAAAAATTATTATGAATATAAATTTAATTTTACACGCTCTTAACCTAATTAAATTTTTTTTAATACATTTTTCATTTAATTTATGACTCTGCCGCTGATTTGGATAGTGAGATTGCTGGTGCTGATTTTGGTGGGAAACAAGCATTTACATTCCCGCCATTTTGTTAAAAGAACGAAATAAACGGCGTCGTTTGTTATGTGCCACGTAACAGTACTTCAATTGACAGCTCACTCCTCTCGCTGCCATAATTCAAAGTACTAATTTACCCTTCACAATACATAATCCCAACTTTGCATCCCTACAAGTAATAGGTATAATTAAATTACCTCAAAGCACCTATATAATTTCTCTCCAAGGCCCATACCCCAGGGAGAGGATAGTCATTTCACATACACTATTGATGGGCAATTCGTGTAATTTATTGTAAATACAAGACCCTTTTCATATCACTCCAGGGATATAGATACCAAATTCCCAGTCTCGTCCATTTTCAAATCAGTCATTCGCTCCCATTCTCTAAAAAAAAATCCCTCTTTCTCTCGCTCCGTTTTCTCTCAATTTCTTCCTTAGAAATTCGAGTTTCTCCTTTTTGTTCATCGATTTTTCGAGATCTCCTTTCCTTTTACTTCGATTTTCAACTTTTTATTTCAATGTTTGATCTGTTTTTCAGTGTTCACTTGAACAATTTTCATGTTTATGAAAAATAGTATTCGAAACCCTTGACCCGACTCATTGCGCGGCGCACCACTCCCAGTTGAGTTTTGAAACCTTAATAGGGGCATTGATAACGGTGTGAGTTTTTTTTCCTTTTTTTTGCTTCTTTGATTTGAGCATGTTTAGTCTTTGCATGTGACTGCCGAAACACTAAGTTCGGGTTGGAATCTCTGTTTGTTACTGGGTAGGGTTTTTTTATGGGGGTGGGTGGGGCCTTTGTCAAATGGAGTGTATTGGGGAGACGTTATTCGAGTTCGTCTGGAAGCATTTGTTATTTTTTGATGTTCGAGTCTAACATTGTGGTTAGTGCTGTTTTGGGGTAGTGTGTGTGAATTTTGATGTATTTGTGGTGAGTTTTCGACTTTGTCTTTAAGCATGTGTTAGAACCCTAAATTAGGGCTGCCATTGAGGTTGTGTTTTTGGTGGGGTTATATTTTTGTTCCGACCCCATCTTGTTTAGACTGAGGCTTAGTTGTTGTTCGTTATATTTTTGTTGTCTTTGTTTCTGAAAGCTTATTATATTATTCTTATGCAGTAGCTTTGGTGAAGCACTTGGGGTGTAGGGGATAAGACTGTTTTATGAGTTTTGCATTGTTTTACTATTTGGTTTCAGAAAGGGCCAAGTTCATTAGAATTTGAGATATTCAGGCGATACCATAGTTTGTATGAAGTTTTTGACATTGAAGGTGTTTGATATGTCTCTCTGTGTAAGATATAGCCCTTATTCTTGTCCAGACCATAATAAATTTGAGTTGAAGTTGGAATTTGGTGATGTTCCTCAAATTTTAGGAAAATACAGTTCACGAGAAACAAGTATATTGTGTTCAACTTTTTCTTTAATCAGTTAAAGGATTATGTATATTGTGTGTATCAACTTCACAACAAGAGAGAAAAAGGAAACATGTTAATTGTGTATCAATTAGTGTTGTGAGTTGTTGATGATTGTGGTGGGTCTTATGTTGTTTTTATCAGGAAGATGTGCATCAAGCAGTTAATATATGCTTTCTTGGAATTAAAATTTTCAGAAAATAACGGATTATGGTGGCTATCATAGTAATTTAGCATTCATCTTTCCATATTTTTTTTATCTATCTCCAAGTTATTGTATATTCTTAATGAGTCTCTGCATATCTTGTTAATTTAATTTATCATAATTTGAAGGGCTGAGCTTGACAGTTCATCAATTTACTTCTTTTGCCTCATACTAAGAAATTGCATGGGGATTGAGTAAAAGAATCCGTAACAATGTTGATTAGTACATATTTTGTGGGTTCTTTCGCACAATGGGGAGTATTATTTACTTGTTCTCTGTTATCTACAAATACACCATTAAATTCTTTTTTAGTGCACAACTCTGCAACTAATTACTGATTCAGTACTTGCCGAAAAAATTGGGGAGATGTTGGGCTCTAGTGAATTATAAGATCCTAAATATATAACTATGTAAACACTGTGAGATTGCCATATGAGTTTCAAGCTTTATAAAATTATGAAGGAATGATAGTTTAACAATGCTTACTCTTGGCAATGTGTTATAGAATATTGAACTGGAGTTATTGGAATTTGTTTAGAGGGTCTCTTAAGATTGCATTTGTCATCCCCCGCCCCCCTTTTTTAAAAAATAAATAAATTTGTATAATTTTTGTGTTTTCTTGTCCAGATTATTCAACAAGTAGCCATACAATGCCAGAACAAAGACCAGGAAATGGCCCTCCTGCAAATGGGAATGCAACAGGTGGAAATGCTTACACAATTGACTTGCCTACTTTTAGTAAGCGACTGAAGGACTTATATTCACACTGGCGTGAACATAAAGATGAGTGGGGTTCTTCTGATGTCCTTGCTATAGCTACTCCACCACCTTCAGAGGACTTAAGATACTTAAAATCCTCGGCTGTAAATGTATGGTTACTTGGGTATGAGTTCCCTGAGACTATAATGGTCTTTGGGAACAAGCAGATACATTTTCTGTGTAGCCAAAAGAAAGCTTCATTGCTGGATGTTGTGAAATTGACTGCTAAAGAGGCTGTGGGAGTGGAAGTTGTCACACATGTGAAGACCAAAGGTGAAGATGGGACTACTAAAATGGACAAAGTGCTCCATGCTATTCATGTGCAGTCATTATCAGATGCTTATGATACTCCTGTTATTGGATATATTGCACGAGAAGGCCCTGAAGGAAAGCTCTTGGAGGCATGGGCTAAGAAGATGAAAGATTCTGGCCTTCAGCTTAATGATATAACAAGTGGACTTTCTGACCTTTTTGCTGTGAAGGACCAAAATGAGCTTGTTAATGTGAAGAAAGCTGCACATCTGACTGCTTCTGCTATGAAGAACTTTGTTGTTCCAAAGCTTGAGAAAATAATTGATGAGGAGAAGAAAGTAACTCATTCCTCGTTGATGGACGACACAGAAAAGGCTATTCTAGAGCCTGCTAAAGTCAAGGTGAAGCTGAAAGCTGAGAATGTGGATATATGTTACCCTCCAATTTTCCAGAGTGGTGGTATTTTTGATCTTAGACCTAGTGCTACAAGCAATGATGATGGTTTGTATTATGATTCTGCCAGTGCCATCATATGTGCAATTGGTTCACGATACAGCAGCTACTGTTCGAATCTTGCCAGAACGTTTCTAATTGATTCCACTCAGATGCAGACCAAGGCTTATGAAGTGCTTCTTAAAGCCCAAGAGGCGGCAATAAGTGCATTGAAACCTGGTAACAAGGTTAGTGCTGTTTATCAAGCAGCTCTTGCTGTGGTTGACAGGGATGCTCCTGAATTGGTGAACAACCTGACAAAGTCTGCTGGGACAGGGATTGGTCTTGAGTTTCGAGAGTCAGGGTTGATCCTAAATGCTAAAAATGATAAACTGTTGAGACCGGGAATGGTTTTCAATGTATCACTTGGTTTCCACAATCTGCAGAATGAGACCAACAAAGAAAAGAGCCGGAATTTTTCACTTTTGCTAGCAGATACTGTGATAGTCACTAAGGATGGTCGTGATGTGATCACCCATTTGAGCTCCAAAGCTTTGAAGGATGTGGCCTATTCTTTCAATGAAGATGAAGAAGAAGAGGAACCACAAATGAAAGCAGAGTCCAATGGTAGGGATACCATGTATTCCAAGGCAACACTTAGGTCTGACAATCATGAGATTTCAAGAGAAGAGAAGCGAAGGCAGCACCAGGAAGAACTTGCCCGTCAGAAGAATGAAGAGACTGCTCGACGTCTTGCTGGTGAAGAAACATTAACCGGGAATAACAGGAGTGCTAGGACTTCGACTGACGTTGTTGCCTACAAGAATGTCAATGACCTACCACCACCCAGAGAGATGATTATTCAGGTTGACCAAAAGAATGAGGCCATCCTTTTACCAATATATGGTAATATGGTTCCTTTCCATGTGGCTACTGTTAAGACTGTTTCAAGCCAACAGGACTACATCCGAATCATATTTAATGTTCCTGGTGCCCCTTTCTCACCTACTGATGTGAAGAATCAAGGTGCCATCTACCTAAAAGAAGTTTCATTTCGTTCCAAGGATCATAGGCACATAAGTGAAATGGTCCAGGTGATTAAAACACTTAGACGTAATTATATGTCAAGGGAGTCTGAGAGAGCTGAAAGAGCAACTTTAGTGACTCAGGAAAAACTTGTCCTTGCAGGGAATAAATTCAAGCCAGTTAGGCTGCCTGACTTATGGATCCGTCCCACATTTGGTGGTCGTGCACGAAAGCTTGCTGGTACACTGGAAGCTCATGCCAATGGTTTCCGGTATTCAACCACAAGACAAGATGAACGTGTTGACATCTTGTATGGTAATATCAAGCATGTGTTCTTCCAGCCAGCAGAGAAGGAGATGGTTACCCTTCTTCACTTTCATCTGCACAACCACATAATGGTGGGGAAAAAAAAGACAAAGGATGTTCAGTTCTATGTTGAGGTAATGGATGTGGTCCAAACGCTTGGAGGTGGAAAGAGGTCTGCATATGATCCAGATGAGATTGAGGAAGAACAGAGGGAAAGAGATCGAAAGAACAAAATCAACATGGACTTCCAGAGTTTTGTGAACAGGGTGAATGATATTTGGAGCCAGCCTCAGTTCAAAGGATTCGACCTGGAGTTTGATCAACCTCTGAGAGAACTTGGGTTCCATGGTGTTCCCTATAAATCATCAGCTTTCATTGTACCAACCTCCAGCTGTTTGGTTGAGCTGGTGGAGACGCCATTCCTTGTGATAACCCTAAGTGAGATTGAGATTGTTAACTTGGAGAGAGTTGGATTTGGGCAGAAGAACTGTGATATGGCTATTGTTTTCAAGGACTTCAAGCGCGATGTCATGCGGATAGATTCAATCCCTATTTCATCCCTTGATGGCATCAAGGAATGGCTTGACACAACTGACATCAAGTATTATGAGAGCAAGGTGAATCTGAATTGGCGTCAAGTACTGAAGACCATAACTGATGAACCACAGAAATTCATTGATGAAGGTGGTTGGGAATTCTTAAACTTGGAAGGTACTGATTCATCATCTGGAGATTCAGAGTCGGACCAAGGTTATGAACCTTCGGATGCTGAACCTGAGTCTGACTCTGATGATGAAGAGTCTGATAGTGAATCTCTGGTTGATTCTGAAGATGATGAAGAAGAGGATGACGATGAAGATTCAGAGGAAGAAAAAGGTAAAACATGGGAAGAGCTGGAGAAAGAAGCAAGCTATGCCGACAGGGAGATTAATGAATCAGATAGTGAGGATGAGAAGAGGAAAAAGAAGAACTTTGGCAAGTCACGAGCTGCTCCTAGTTCTGCTGCCAGCAAGCGAATGAAGTTCAGGTAGATGGGTTAGTAGAAGGCTGTTTCTTTATTATGTTCCTTTAGGGATGCAAAGACTAACTATTTTGTTTCTTTTTTTTTTTTTGCTGGTGTTGGTTCTATTTAGGTGGTAATTTTGATCTTATTGTAAATTAATAGCCTCAGATCTATGGAAACATCTCTAATGTTTTTATCTGTTATGCCTGTGAGAAAACCTGCATATTGTTTTCTGGGAGTAGCATATATTTGGCAAATTGTCTTGAGACCAATGTATTTTGGAGTATATGTTTGGTAAATTGTCTTGAGACCAATTTTAAGCATATTATACAGATGCATTGCTAGCTATAGGCCTTAATTTGGCCTTTAAATTCTATTTAGTTTGTGATTCTATGGATAGATATTTGAAGCTTCTCGTAACCAGATTTATTATTTTGTCATAGCAATAAAACAATTTACTACATGTTTTGAGCACAAAATGTGAGATGAGAGATCGCCTACCTCAATTGGGTCATCCAACCACGAGTGAGAAAAACACAAAATACAAAAGCTGAGAGTATATGCAAATATTGCTCAGGTACTGCCATAACACTAAGAAATAGCTAGGAACAAAACCTTCTGCAATGTGATAAGCGAGCAATTGTTTGAAATGTAGCTGGCAAATAACTGAGTAAAATTTGAAAAACAAAAGGACAGTGTCAAAAATTAAACGGAACTTAAACCCAACTTAAGTTGCACAATCTGATTTTACACGAATTCACTACTTCGCAAACACAGAAAGAGAGAATAGCTATTCTAAGATCCAAGTCTAAACTCAGTTGTCGGGTTAAATACTTTACAGCTGCTTATAACTTATGTAGCATAAACTAATATCCTAAGACAGTCTAGCACGTTCTTTTACCTAAACCTGGGTCTCTTGGAAATGTTGCTAGAGAGATTTCTTCTCTCTGGAGGACGACCTTTCCCAAAAGCCTTCATATTCCTCCTCTTCCTATCATTGTCACTGTCTGATTCAGCTCCTTTCTCTCTGTCGGCATTGCTTGCTTCTCTTTCCAGCTCTTCCCATGTTTTCCCTTCTTCTTCTGAATATTCCTCAGAGTCCTCTCCCTCATCATCCTCCGACTCAACTAGTGATGCACTTTCATCATCTTCCTCGTCTGACGAAACAGGCTCTACATCTGAAGGTTCATATCCTTGATCAGACTCCTGTGAGTTGTCAGATTCCGAATCAGTACCTTCTAAATTCAAAAATTCCCATCCACCATTCTCTATGAACTCTTCTGGATCATCAGTAATTGTTTTCAGTATCTGACGCCAATTCAGATTCAGCCTGCTCTCGTAGTACTTAAGGTCAGTTGTATCGAGCCACTCCTTGATGCCATCAAGGGAAGTTGAAGGGATAGAATCAATTCGCATAACATCTCTTTTGAAGTCCTTGAATATAATTGTCATGTCAAAATTCTTCTGCCCGAGACCAACCCTCTCCAAGTTGACTATCTCAATCTCACAGAGAGTGATCACAACAAAAGGGGTCTCTACGAGCTCAACAAGGCAGCTAGATGTTGGGACTATAAAAGCTGTTGACTTGTGGGGCACCCCGTGGAATCCCAGCTCTCTCAACGGCTGATCAAACTCCAAATCAAGCCCTTTATATTGAGGCTGGGTCCAGAGGTCATTTACCTTGTTCACAAATGTTTGAAATTCCATGTTAATCTTGTTTTTCCGATCCCTTTCACGTTGTTCCTCCTCAATCTCATCAGGATCATAAGCAGATCTTTTTCCACCCCCAATTGTCTGCACAACATCCATCACTTCAACATAGAACTGCACGTCCTTGGTTTTCTTGTTCCCCACCATTATGTGATTGTGCAGGTGAAAGTGGAGGACTGTAATCATTTCCTTTTCTGCTGGCTGGAAGAATGCATGTTTGATGTTACCATACATAACATCCACTCTCTCATCTGGCCTTGAAGTTCCATACCGGAATCCATTTGTGTGAGCCTCTAGAGTACCAGGAAGCTTTCTTCCGCGACCACCAAATACCGGACGAATCCACAGATCTGACAACTTTATTGGCTTAAATTTGGCTCCAGCAACTTGAAGTTTCTCCTGTGATACTAAAGTTGCTCTCTCAGCTCTCTCTGATTCTCTAGAGACAACCTGCCTGCGGAGGGTTCTTATTTGTTGAACCACTTCAGTGATGTGCCTTGGGTCCTTTGAACGAAATGAAACTTCTTTAACATATATTGATCCCTGGAACTTTAGAGTATTTGTGTCATGAGGAGTGAATGGAGTGCCAGGAACATTGAACATTATTCGGATATAGCAGGTACGGTTAGTATCTTGTTGACTAGATACACTTTTCACGGTGGCAATATGGAATGGAATCATGGTACCATGAATAGGTAAAAGAATAGCCTCACTCCTCTGGTCAACCTGAATCATCAACTCTCTTGGAGGTGGCAGATCATTAATGTTCTTATATGCAAGCAGGTCACCAGTGGCTTTTGCAGCACCACGGCTATCTGCACCCCCAGAACTTCCTCCTGTGAGCCTCCGTGCAGTTTCTTCGTTCTTTTGGCGGGCCAATTCTGCCTGGTGTTGCCGCCTTAGTTCCTCCCTTGATGTCTCGTGGTTAACTGATCTAAGCATAGCCTTGGATGAGAGTCCATTGGCGGCAACAGGCTTAGCTTTGACCTTCGGCTGCTCCTCCTCTTCTTCTTCATCCTCGTTGAATGAGTAAGCCACATCCTTCACAGCTTTAGAACTCATAGAAGTCACCACTTCTGGAGCATTTTGACCAATAACAACTGTATCAGCAAGCAAAACACAAATTTTTTCAGTTTTTGGGTTTTTAGACTCCGTTTGCAAATTCTGAAACCCAAGAGACACATTAAAAACCATGCCAGATTTCAGCATTCTATCATTCTTGCCGTTTAAGTTTAACCCTGATTCACGGAACTCAAGCCCAATTCCAGTTCCTGCAGATCTTGTCAAATTTGCAACCAATTCAGGTGCCTCCTTTTCAACCACATTGAGTGCTGCTTGGTAGACATCTCCAGCCTTGTTTCCTGGTTTCAGAGCTCCAACTGCAGCCTCATGGGCCTTCAGAAGGACTTCATACGCCTTGCTTTGCATTGGATTGGCATCAATTAGAAAGGTCCGAGCAACATTTGAGCAGTAACTATTATATCGAGAACCAATTGCACAGATAATCACACTTGTCGAATCATAGTAAAGATTCTGATCATTGCTTGATGCACTTGGTCTCAGATCAAACTCCCCTCCACTCTGAAAAATTGGAGGGTAACAGATGTCGACATTATCTGCCTTTAACTTCACCTTAATCTTTGCAGGTTCCAGTATGACCTTTTCAGTGTCATCCATTAGTGAAGAATGTGACACCTTCTTCTCCTCATCGATAACCCTTTCCAGCTTTGGGACTACAAAGTGCTTCATCACTGATGAAGTCAGATAGCCAGCTTTCTTCACATTCATAATTTCAGCGGTGTCCTTGACAGCAAACAGGTCAGAGAATCCATTAGTTACATCACTGAGCTGAAATTGTGTATTCTTTAGCTTCTCAGTCCATGTCTCTAAAAGATTCCCTTCAGGAGCTTCTCTCGCAATGTGTCCAACAATGGGCACATTTGACTCTGACTGATCTTGTATAGCTCGAAAAATTGCATCCATTGCACCAGTCCCATCATCCTTTTTAGACCTCACGTGCATTACAACATCCACTCCCACAACATCCTTGGAGGTTTTCTTGACAGCTTCAAGTAAGGAGGCCTTCTTTTGGCTACAAAGAAAATGGATCTGCTTCTTCATGAAAACCATAATAGTATCAGGAAATTCATACCCAACTAACCACATATTTAAAGCTGACGACTTCAGATACCGCAGATCCTCAGATGGAGGAGGAGTTCCTATGGCAAGAACTTCAGAAGCTCCCCAAAGTTCATCATTGTGTTCAGTCCAGTGGGAGTATAATGTTTTTAATCTTTTACCGAAGTTGTCCAGATTGATGGCATAAGGATTGGCTGTTCCGGATGCTTTGTCATTAGAAACCTTGACATTACTATTCCGGGTATCAGCCATCGAATAGGACGAATACAAGCCCTTAAACCCTCAATGAAGTGCAGAGCCAAGCGTGATGATAACCTGTGGAAAAACAACAGAAAGTTATGATTTCCTTCCTCTCCTCCCACACAATTAGTATTACCAGATAACTGCCAATTCCTACATTAATGGCATTCCACCAAAGAATGTGAAGAGTTCAAAATAAACAAGTGTAAACAAAGTTAAAAATTAGCAGATAATCATAGGCCAAAAATACAAGAAGAAACTGGGCACAACCAGTTTATGAATTTACCGGCCAGGAAAGGGAAATCACTAGCTTCACATATGTCCTCTAAGTTTAATCAAACTAACAACTCAACCGATATGTATTTGGGAAAGCAAGAAGGAAACTACTGCATTTGAAAATCCCGATTCCACCCAAAACTTTCTACCATTTTCTCAGTCATAAAGAAAAAAGTAGATCTCATCCTTCTCATTCTTGTTCACCTGAAGCTATGGTTCAATTCAAACCTAAAAACATATTCTGCTATAGAAGTTGAGAAATGCCAATTTTACACCAATACCTGAAATAAGGCCTAACAATTTCTCGCAAGATTCCAAGAAAAAAAAAAAACTTTTACATAATTACACTAGAATTCATTTTTCTCGCAAGCCAACACTTTGATTTTCACGGCTATGATTTCTACTCTAATACAAAATATAAACAAAAGAACAATCTCCTAGTTGAAAACATTCAACAAACTAACAGGAATCTCCAATTTCAACTTCCAAAAAATCCACAATAGCTAAAATTATTCATTACACCAGAAATCAACTCATATAGAGTAACAAGCTCAATAAGAAAAATAGAAAATTAGCACCAGAAAATGCAGAAACTCACTTTGCAATTGACTCTGCTTTTCAGGAATAAACCTTTCTCCGATCCTCTGATCTCCTGATCCTACAACAGCTCAAAATTTCAAAAACAATCAAAAGTTTTCCAAATTCTACGTTTTGAATAACAAAACGA